TATATATAAAAACTTTATGATTCTAATTTATGTATCCAATAGGACACTTAATGCACTTCATAAGTCACTACAATCAAATGTCAATTTCAACTTCAACTCAAGAAAAGAATAATAAAAGGAATACTCACATACTTGGCAATTCTCCAAAAGACGAAAACTGCTTCTCAATACTTTTTGGCAAAGCTACAATTGTTATGCCTTTATTTAAATAGTGCAATAGCATAGCTTCTGATTATCGTAGTATAGAACTATTCCTTAATCATCATTATTTTTTTTCCATTTGAATTATGTTTCTTTGATTTACTAGGTCAAATTGAGAAAATCCATATCATATTCACCGTGACATTAATGGTATAAAAATTAATGTTCAATATTTTCAGAAACATTGTAAAAGTAATACCTAACTTCTTAGAAATATCAAATAAAGTCAAAGTGATTTGTTCTACCATAAAATTTAAAGTTGCTTATAGAGTAATAAAATGATTATTTTCCATTTCAGAGGAGAAAATGTACATATCTAATGGTAGGTGTTGATACCCAATTTTATCCTCATATTTAATAAAGTATTCCATATACTTTTAAAATATCATTTTGTACTATTACCCAATTTACCGGGGTTATATAGTGTTATGCCTTTATTTAAATAGTGCAATAGCATAGCTTCTGATTATCGTAATATAGAACTATTCCTTAATCATCATTATTTTTTTCCATTTGAATTATGTTTCTTTGATTTACTAGGTCAAATTGAGAAAATCCATATCATATTCACCGTGACATTAATGGTATAAAATTCACGTTGTATATTTTCAGAAACATAGTAAAAGCAATACCTAACTTCTTAGAAATATCAATTAAAGTCAAAGTGATTTGTTCTACCATAAAATTTAAAGTTGCTTATAGAGTAATGAAATGATTATTTTCCATTTCAGAGGAGAAAATGTACATATCTAATGGTAGGTGTTGATACCCAATTTTATCCTCATATATTTTATAAAGTATTCTATATACTTAAAAAATATCATTTTGCACTATTACCCAATTTACAGGGGTTATATAAGTATTTTCTATAATTTTTAAAGCTTTAAAATTGATTTTTCTTGCATTTTAATTATTCAAATATTTATTAATTATCCCTTAAAAATATTTTGGGGTGATTTAATTATTCAAATTTATTAATTGTACACACATGCATATTTCATAATATTTTACTTCATTTTTATATAATATTTGCATTCTTTATAACATTTGCATATCATTTGCAATAATAGCCAAATATTTTCAATAATTTTCTTTATTATGCTAATTTGATGTCAAAATGAATTTTTATATTTTTACAATTATAGTCATTTATTTTCAAAATATTAATTTCAAAAACAATATTTTAATATTATTTTATAGCCATTTTTATAATTTATTTCGTTAATTTTCATTTTATTTTTAATTAAGCCGAAAATCGGACCAAAAGAGGTCCAAAATGCTAAAGCCTACCCTAATTGACCCATCAGAAGCACAAAATCAAGCAACCCAATAACCTGCACTCGTCTGCAACCCGCTAGACTCGACCCTAGCACCCTCTAATCTCGACCGTTGATCTCAAATGATCAACGACCTATATTAAACTCCTCACTCTCCTTATATCCCTCCCCACTAAACCCTAGAGACATTTTCCTCAACCAGCCGCCTTTGCATTCTCTATTTCCCTATGTCATGCCCCAAAATTCCCTCCTTTGGACTGTGATGACGCCTAACATTTCACTTGCTAGGCAAGCCAACGTTAGAATAATATTAACTAATTTTTAAATTATTAATAATCAAGGAAACAAAGCATAAGCAAAGTTTGAAATATAGTGAAATAATTCATAAAATAACGGTATATAAATACCATCCCAGAATTGGTGTCACAAGTGCACGAGCTTCTAGAATAAATATAAATAAAGGTCTGAATAAAATAAAGCTGTCTGGGAATAAACACACAGTTAAGGTAAAATAGACAGGGACTTCAGAACTGCGGACGCCATGCAGTTATACCTCAAGTCTCCTCTAGTAGCTGAAATCCGAGCAAGTCTATGGTACGCCGCTGGGACCAACTCCAAAGTCTGCACAAGAAGTGCATAGTGTAGTATCAGTACAACCGACCCCATGTACTGATAAGTGCTGAGCCTAACCTCGACGAAGTAGTGACGAGGCTAAGGCGGTTCACTTACATTAACCTGTACGCAATATTAATAACAACCACAAATAATAGAAATAAATCAGATAACTTATTTATAATAATTGAAGCCAACCCAACAGTCGTAATCCATTATTATTTCAACCAATTCTGTTGCAGCGTGAAACCCGCTCTCACAATATATTCACATTCAATTCTATTACAGCGTGCAACCCGCTCTCCCAATATTTTTCTTTTAATCAAGTCTGGCATATATTTATTTCAATCAACTATATATATAGACTTGTAAATAAGTCTGTTGCGGCGTGCAATCTGATCCCCCATTGTTGACTTTTCAATAAGTCTATTGCGGCGTGCAATCCGATCCCCTAATATTGACTTTTAATAAGTCTGTTGCGGCGTGCAACCCGATCATCCAATATTAACTTTTTAATAAGTCTGTTGCGGCGTGCAACCTGATCCTCCGAATATTGACTTTTAATAAGTCTGTTGCGGCGTGCAACCCGATCCTCCAATATTAACTTTTTAATAAGTTTGTTGCGGCGTGCAACCCGATCCTCCAATATATCCATTTCAATCAATTCTTGTAGAAGAAATTTCCCCAATAAATGTAACAATTAATATAAAATTATAAGACAACAAGCATATAACAATTATGATTTAATTATGAAAGAAACAATGACAAATAGCAAATTATTATAAAGATTAGGGAGAAAATAGGCAGTTTAATATTTAATATGCTAAATGTCAAATAAAAATTAAAACACACAATTCAAATAGCATGTAACAATTAATGCAAGAATTCAAGAATTAATATTGGATAAAGAATAAGAGATAAACAATTATTATAATAAATAATTTATGATTAAAAATAATTTATGATTTTTCAAGTAAGCAGGCAAACAATTAATTTGATGACGTATAGACACTAGTCACCTCGCCTATACATCGTTCACATGCAATTCACATAACAATTAATTTAAGGGTTCTATTCCCTCAAGTCAAGGTTAACCCCGACAATTACCTCGCTTTGCAAATTCCAATCAATTATTCAACCACAACTTTTCCTTTTAATTTTGTCTCCGAAAGCTTTAAATCTATTCATAAACAATTTGATATATTCAATACTAATCATAGGAATTAATTCCATATGAATTTACAAATTTTTCGGATAAAAATCCAA